TAGAAGCTTATAGCAGAAGATATTGTGGAAGGAAGACAACATTGTTTGATATATCAGTTTCACAGGAAGTAACTATTGCAGCAACTAGACATGTGCATTCGGATTCGGACTAACCTGCAAGCCAACGAAATTCAGTTGATTCAGCTGTTCGTCCAAATCCAAAATAACAAGTTTAGTATATGCCTGGATATCTGAAAACTATATTTAGGCATATATAAGTTTGTTTGTAGAACGTGAGGCAGCCATAGATATACACCAAGACCATGCGTATGACGTCACCCGACGGCACGCATGTGCAACGTCATGTGACTCCGATATGGCCACCACGCATTCTGCAGTTTCAATGTGTGGTTTTGGATTCGTAGGCTCGTTTCCTCCGAATCCGAAACAGCATAAACATTCATTTCATTTGACAAAACGTATGAAAATGTTTTTTATTCTGTGCACAACCACATCTAAGGACCGCTAATCTGCAAAATATTATCAGGGTTATTCACAAAAGGGTGAAGTGTTTGGAGAAGGCAGGAGAAGTGAACAATCTAGGACAACATAGCTGCTTTGGAAATATTTTCCATGTCAGCTCACTTTCCAGTTCAGCTATGTTGTCCTAGATTGTTCCCTTCTCCTGCCTTCTCCAAACTCTTCACCCTTATGTGAATAACCTTGTATATATTTTTGCTCTTTAGTTTATATACACGTGCAAAAGATTGCTTTTTCGTGGTTGCCTCATTTGTGCACCTCAATAGACAGTCATCTTATTAAAGTCTTTCTATTTTAGGCAACAGACCCTGACTCTGGAATTTTTGGATTAATTACATATGGCTTACTACCACCATCCATGTGAGTATAAAGAGTGATCAGCACCTGTTCATGGAGAAAGCATCTTTTTTTTTCCCAGACAAAAAATTAGAGAACCATATATTTTATAAACAGACAGCAGCAGTATACTTTAGCCTCTCACATTTTCTACAGTACCGTTATTTTACAGTGTCAGAACAGGAAAAGAACAAGTGGATCTCCAATCAGAACACAAAGTCAAGTTTTTTAATGTAGATGCTGAAATGTCATAACACGGGCAGTATATAAAATGTACTTGACATGTCTGCTCAGTCATATCAGCCATGGCCATTTATCATCCTCCCTATCCACAACCCTGTTGACTATATGACAAGCATGCTGGGCGATGTAGTCTTGACAAAACGTACACAATACTCTTGTTGACAACAAACTTCAATACCATCCCGCTTGAGTGATGGCTTTTACAGTACAGGAACTGAAATGTATAATGGTGGCTTCTTTAAAGACACAGTACTGGTAGTTTTAATAAAGTTGTAAGCCAAGTTATTTTCCAGATTAGGTTTTAGAGTTCCATTCATTTTGAGAGCTAGAACTCAGCCTATGTGCTGAATGTAAACGTACATTTATGTGTGTGTGCAATGAATAATATTTCAGTGGCTGAGCTATTTCAAGTGACAAGTGATCGTAACTGGATATCAAGGTCTCAGGGCCGGATGTACTCTGTCTGCTGCCCCAAGGCCAGGTTCCTCATTGCGCCCCCCTACCCGACAACCCCCCCCCCCCCCCGAACTCCCCCCCCCCCCCCACACCCCCCCCCCCCCCATGGAGAATGGCTGCATACAAGTGATCTCGGCGACATCATCGAGATCACTTGTACAAAACAAGTGGCAGCTTCCCCGTTGTACATTTAGCTGTGCTTGCCCAAAGCAGGGCTACATGTAGAAAACAACTACCCGCCCGGGTCCCGGAACTGCATGGAACTGCATGTCCACACCCCTGCTGCCCCCCTACTCCCTGCTGGCCTTGTGGGAAATCCGGCCCTGTGTATAGTACTACTACCCCTCAGAAATATATTTAGAATTATCTTTTAAACATATCAATTAATTGAAAAGCCCAATCATTCTTTAAAGGCAACCAACTTTAATGGTTCATTTTAGTGCAAGAGGTAAAATTACCCTCCTCCTGAGCCCTAATACAAGGGGTTGTAGCCAGCAATACCCATATACCCTCCTCAACACAGGGAGTTTTTTTAAATTTAGGGGCAGGGCTGCCGTCAGGGGGGGTACGGCCATTACTCAAGTAAGGGGCCCCAGCTGCTTGGGGGGCCCTGGCTCCAACCAAGGAGTTTATGCTATAATATGTGCAGTACAGTTGGTTTGGACCCGCCCCCCCTTCCCTGTACAATTGGTACCTTCCTGTGTACGTGCAGGAAGGTTTGTCAGGGGGCGAAACGTATTTTTTAGCCAACTGAAGCAGTGAAGAATAAGGTGGGAGCAGAGCAGTTGCAATGGAAAGGTGAGGGTTTTAAAGCTTCCTAGGGAGCTGCCCCAGCAGAGTTAGTGTCACCTGTGTGGTGCTGCCCCAGCAGAGTCAGTGTTACCTGTGCATTGGCATACACATTACAAACGTATTTTTTAGCCAACTGAAGCAGTGAAGAATAAGGTGGGAGCAGAGCAGTTGCAATGGAAAGGTGAGGGTTTTAAAGCTTCCTAGGGAGCTGCCCCAGCAGAGTCAGTGTTACCTGTGCATTGGCATACACATTACAATTCCATTTATTAAGCTGTGATAGTGTTACAGTGGGCAGACTCAATGGAACAGCCAGTGGGAAGGTGCAGTGTTGGCAGGGGGACGAGGGACCCAGACTTAAAGCTGTGTAAGGGGCCCCGTAATTTCTGAAGGCTGCCCTGATCATGGAGGGGGGGG